GTGTTATATATATATATATATATATAGATTTGTCTATGCGTATATTTGTATGAATATGCATTTCATCAGCAGGAAGGTCGCATAATATCGCCGATGATCAGAATTCACGATAGATGGTAAAATAGTTGACACTAAAATTGAATAAATAGAAGCGACAACGTGAGGTAAATGGAATAAGTATGAATGTGTCAATAATAATTTCCCTGCATATAGAACTGAGTTCGAGTTCGAAAGATAATGTAATATTTGCATGATAATAATGATATGTTAATAGGACGGCTGAAATAAAATTTTAATATCACTGCTATAAGTAAACAGCGATGATTGGATGGGTATTATAAAAAAAAATGAATTTTTATGAAATAGATGTATATAGTACCGATGTCTTGTGTCACTCGATTTCATAGCTCTTTGTTGTGCATTTTTAATCTACAATTAGTAGTTCAACCTGGATAAGATCTTCACTCAATGACACTCAGTGATAATGACATGCTCATGACAACTACTAAATATGCATTTTCCAGTTACATAAAGAACCATTAATTACTTGCAAGAAATAACCTCATCATTTTTTAAAAAAATGATATATTCGGTATGCTTGTATTTCGCCGTTGCATCACGCTCAAATTTCAATATCCCCAGTGGATTTTAAAAATCTGTGGAATTTAAATTGCAGATATGGACAGGGACATATTTGACCATCCAATGACAGCCGAATCATTGCAACAAATTTTAGCTTTTTTCAAGAAAAACGGTTTAACGGTAGATTTTTTTTCTTTATAAGGAAAGAATTAATGGACTTGCCATGATTATGCATGAATATTGTAAATTATTTTAGGAATCTGAAGAAGCCTTGTCGAGAGAAGCTGCAGCCGTTTTGCGGCTTTCGAAAGATGGTGTCGATAGTGACACTAACAAGTGTGTTTTGATTTTTTATTTTTTTAGTGACCAGATTTTTAATAATAAGTAATAATATATAATAAAATATCGCTACTGTTCTACGAAACCTCGCAAATGTGCTTAGAAGCACTACTGATTATTATTATTGTCGAAGCACTGCTGATTTTTACACGTGGCTATATTTTTCGAAAACATCAAGCGAGCCTGATACAGTACAACATCGAGTCATTGTTTGCTAACAAGCAACGCAGTATTTTAGTAGTCAGATTTTTAATAACCTAGAACACTGCACACTGTGTTGCTTATCAGCAAACAATGGCTCGGTGTTATACTGCATCATGAACAGTTTTGAAGTTTACGGACAATTTTAGTGATGCTATTATGCGCGAATTCTCGACGCTTTTGAGTCATGTTGATTCTTCCTTTGATAATTCCTGCGCAGAACTATCTGCTTTAATATTCCCGGTATTTGCGCACTTATATATACAGCTTATTGCTGAAGGACGTAGTTTACAAGGTTTGCATCGGCTTACTATTATTTAGTAACTGTATTTTTTTTTCTCCTAATTTCTCTTCATATGTCTTTTTCTCCTCGATAATTTCCACACATTTTTCTTAAACTGAAAATCTGGAATGATTTTATCATTTCAGCAGCTTTATTCAGCGAAAAATTTTCTCGATATGTACCTTCAATGTATGAGGAGCAGACAAAATTGCTTACTCGCATTTCTACTCATAGTCAGGCTGCTAATCATGCACTCGTTCAGGCTTTAACGTAATTATAATTTTTTCAGTGTGATTAAATATTACATTTTACTGGTAGACTGGCAAACTTCATTTTACTGATAGATTTCGAAAAGTTTTTCCAAATTGAAACTTTGTTATTCTGTGTTGAAAATGTCATAATTTCTGAAAATCATAAGTAAATGTCGTTTATGTTGATGGATTTTCAGAGCGGTGATTTTCTAATTTAATTTGGGTACTTTAAGAATTATAACTGGAATATCATAAAATTAAACCCTATATTTTGAAGAAAAAACCAGTTTGTTGTTCGCATATCAAAATCGGCAATCAAACAACTGGAACCTTTCTTAACCCGGAATAGTATTGTTCGCGATGTGATGCGAGATCATTTGCATATTGAAGGTGGTTTTCCATTATTCGAAGATCTACGGATTTCAGCTTTCGCATTCTCTTTTAGCATGATTGAAACATAAAAATCCTGATAACCGTGTTCTATTAAGCTAGTAGGATGAAGGCGTTTTTGCCTTATTCATAAACTAATAGAAATTTCATTGCTCTATAGGTATCAAATAACCTTAACAAAAAAAAGTGCCTGTTTGGAATTCATGGGTGTAAAGGAATTTCCAATTCTTGAAATTTCAAATTGTATTAAGTATATTTAGCAATTGATGGCTCGCGGACAAAATCAGCTACGGAAGCAGTCCTGGGAGGTATTCTTGGTCAAGTCAGCAAGCAAGGTATTGTGATTCACTTTTCAAATCACCATAAAAGTTTCCATCTGCTTGTGAAAAACTTCGGTGTTTGAGTTTTCACTTTGTTCTTCCATTTCCCATTTTCAGGACTTTCGTTTTACACAAGTAGTTTAGTAAATTTCGTATCAGTCACCTGTTACCTTTTTGCTAAAATCCATCATTTTTCACTTTAGGAAATGTTTTAAATAATTTATTTGTTTTAATTCTCAGTTATTTGAAATCAATAGATTTTTAGAAAGGCGGCATAAAATGTTTTATGGAACGATTAAAGAAGATTTTTCAACTCAGCTGGGCCTCGAGAAGAAACGGCCAAAAATTAAAGAAAGAAATGACGGCAAAAAAAAGGATGCAAATGGACCCTCACCTGATCGAATACCTCTGCCAGCAGCGTTAGTCACCGTACTTTTTTTTCCCCTTTCGAAATATTTTTTTATTAAAAAGATTTGTTTCTATCAAAGAATTTTTCCAGTATTGTACAAGTTTTGAGAAGCAATCCAAATCAATTACAGCAATGAAAAGAGGTATATGAAAGAATCGGGTAAGAAAATGCGCATTTCCGTTGACACACCACCATCCATATGTCTTTACACGGTGCTTAATTCTCCTGGTGGTCTTACAGCATCTGATATTGCTGAAGATAGTGGAGCTTTGGCATTGGGTTTTGGAAATTCTAGGATCCAGGTATATTCAAGTTGATGTTTTAATTTTCAGTAAATTTAAACGACAGTTTCTTTTTTCGATCAGCATAATTCTTTCGGAATATGTATTCTTATCTTTCTTTATCTCTTTATGTTCCTTCATGTTCTTCTAACAAACTGTTAGAGATGAAAAAAGTACAGCATGAGTTAACCATACTAAATTTATGAAAGAATAGGCTTTAGGCAGGGAAATGGCAAGATTGCAGAGCAACCATATTTATTTCCCCTAGTACTCTTCTGCAAATTTTTCATCTGTCTTAAGATGTACAACCTTTCAGTATTTTATTGGAAATTCTTACTATTGTTATTTAAGGTTCATACGTTAAATGAGGAAAAATTTCGGCCGTACAAAAAAATCGATCAGTTGGAGCTAATAGAGCAAGAATCTGAAGATGCACTGGAGCAGGTTTACGATGACGCGGAAGCGTCAACATCACTTACCTTTCAAGTTAGTTTTGTTTTTAGCTTCACTGTTTCTTAACTTGGGATGCGTGACTTGCTGTTTGGACATCAGATCTTCAATCAACTTATAAGAAACTTGGATATTTTGAAAAGTCCATATTTCTATTCGTTTTTTTTTATAACGGCACATCAATACTCTTCTATAGATCTGTTTTGACTCTTTTGTTTGTGTCTGAACTTTAGCCAGAACTTATCTTTGGTTTTCGGGTAGTAGATGTACAAATATTTCTTTCTTCCACTTAAAATCACTTATTCTTCAGGGTCATAACGGACCAGTTTATTCGTTATCATTTTCTCCCGATAAACGCTTGTTACTTTCATCGTCACGTGATGGAACAGTTCGTTTGTGGAGTCTCGCCGTTCGTAGTAATGTTGTGGTGTACAAGCATGCTGCACCAATTTGGGAGGTTTATCTGTTCTTTAATAATGATGTCACATTTTTACAAACTGATAAGCCCACTAAGCTGTAGAAAAATCGGACAAACTGTGAAATTTCAGGTGCAGTTCAGCCCACGTTCTTATTATTTCGCAACCGGTAGTGCCGATGGTGCTGCGATGCTATGGACAACCGATCGTTTGCAACCGTTGCGCATTTTCTCAGATGCATTGTCAGATGTCACCTGCATTGACTTCCATCCAAATTGCAATTATTTCGCAGGTGGTAGTGATGATCGTTACGTACGTGTTTGGGATGTGTTGTCTGGGACATGTGTACGATACTTTGCGGGTCACAAAGGATCGATTCGAGGATTAAAAGTGAGTTCAAGAGAAAGGAAAAAACTGTATTCCAGATTGCTTCTTATTCGAGTTTTTGAACTTCAAAGTTCGAATTTCTTTGATGTAAAATAATTTCTTCCGAATAGGACAGATTATCGCTCCACCAAATCAAACTCACGACACTATTGATCACAGCGTCTCATGAGAATTATCTGCTAATTTAAATCGCCTTGTTTTTAGTTATACTCCTTTTAGATATAAGTTTACAGCATGAAATAACTTAGGTGTCTGAAAACCTTGGCTGCAATCGCTTTAACTTCGAATTGTTTTACTCATTTGATAATAATCCGGCGACTTTGTCGTTATCCTAATTATGTTCTGGCAAGTTACCTTCTTTTAGGGAGCCCAAATATAGCATGTACTGCTTGCAGTCGCATTAATACTGTACTACATTCTTCCTACTCTGTTGCAGATTTCGCCCTGTGGTCGGTATTTGGCATCACTGGGAAGCGAAGGATCGCTTGTTCTTTGGGATATGGCATTGCAAAAAATGGTTTGCATGCAGGACGTCTCTGCACTTCCATACCAGGTCCCAATAGAGTTCTCACGTGATGGAGCAGCCCTAGCCGTTGCGCGAGCCGATTCAGCGCTTTCATTTTATTCCGTGGATACGGTTACAGCACATTCCGGTTCACAGGACCATTTAAATAATGATCCAAAGTAGGTGAATTTGAATCAGAACTCCTTGCACTTTATAAAAAGTAATATAGTTCAGAGTATAAAAAGTAATAGTTCAACCCCTTCTTAAAACGTACTGGATTCAAAAAATTATTGGTCGAGACAACCTGCATGCTACTGATGACACCATAAAGCAATACCAGAACTAGTAAAATATGTAGAATTGACTTCATCTTGTTTAGGTCATTTTAAGATCGTTCTATATTTTTTAGCGGTACTTTCATTGCAGGATAAATCCCAGCGGCTTTCATCTTTACTCATATGCTACCAAAAATACACCAATTATCGACTTGCATTTCACACGACGCAATTTGGTTCTGGCTGTGGGCGCTTATGGGCAGTAAATTACAGGAGCACTGCTGAGAATCTAGTAAGCACTCGTAGGTTTAACTGCAGAAACATTTTTGTTTGTATGTTTCAACAGTTAATTCTTTATGAAAGTGAAGTCGCCAAGAATTTAGCAAGAAAAAAAATTTCCAATGATTCATAATGTGACTACAGACAAACATCTGGTTACTGTGTTGTCTTAATAGCCGCTTTAGGTTATTGTAAAGGAACATCATACCTTGAGCCGAGGTTCTAGTCCGTAATCTGGAAACATTAAAAATTTGGATTTATGAGGGAGTTGCAGTAGTAATTAAAAGGCCACAATAGGAATTTGAGTATACTATGTTATGTAAAAGTAAACTTATGTGGTAACCATAACTTATTGGATTATGCGAAAATAACTGCAATAGCAAACCTGCATCCCAACGAATAAAAAAAAAATATTTACAATATAGTTGTTCTTTTCTTGCGCAAAATTTATATATCCAAAACTGCATAGCTGTGTATAGATTTCGTACAAAAATTCATATTATGATATGGAATTTCGCTGTTACAACGTTTGTGCCATGTATTATAGGAGCTGCTAGCACATGATTATAATGGCAAATAATGACACTCCTCCGTTCTTCCCATCCATATGAAATACAGGATTTGGATTGGTTGACCAAACCGAATGACATAGTGCTTACAATCGATAGTACATTTCTATCCACGTCTCAGAACAACATTTCTACTCTTCTTCTGTTGGTAGCCATAGATTCTGAAAAACATATACACTAATTAAAGCCATCAGTGGAACAGTAACTGTTTAGGCCAAACATAGACGAACATAAATTTAGTGAAATATTTATATACCCCTATTTCTCAGCAACCAAACGCTTACTAATGTTGTGCAAGCCGTAGCTAGCATGAAGAACCGTGGATTGAATAATATTTTATGAATAAGCGGGGAATGTCCCGAGGCAAGCTTTGCAACTTTTTGGCCAGTTGTAACAGACCATGATACTATACTGCTATCTGTGGAACCACTGAATACATACTGTGCATCAGCGCAGAATGTTGCATCCAGTTCAATACCTTTGCTATTCTCGTGACCTGAAACAGTCGATTTCGCAGTATCTAGAGAAATATACAGTCCTTCCATATATGTTTGTATTGTAAATTACGCTGCGAACAGAAACTAAGGATGTGATGTTTAGTGCTCTGAAGTTTAAACAGGTTCAGAAACAATATTAAGTACATGTGTTTGAGAAAGGTGAGATCCTACTCAGCATTGAATTGTAAGCCTGTGAAATGCCACTGTCATCGAATTATGATGACTGTCTAAAGCTTTTCTCTGGGATGCAGAACAATTTGAATTATTTGGGCCTTGGACAGTTGTCGAAGAAACTAAACAGACCTCTTAAAACGTGGATTAATGTTCCTTTAAAGGAGTCAATTAGGGTAACCGAAGAACCGTTCGTTGTGATCATGATCATTTTACCATCAGGAGAAAATTTCAGACCTGTCCAGTCTTCTTTCGCCTCATTTTCCACCTTAAATGTCGTAAATGGCCCCTGAAAGAAGCGTAGTCAAATATCACAAATGGAATGCTAATTTTCAAAAATCTTTTGACAGAAGTATCGCTTTCCAACTAACAAAATTAATGGGATAACGTCTAGAAACATAAAATATTAGTGATATTTTGCGAAACAATCCAATACCGAGTGCAAGTCTTCGAGGTTTCAACAAAAAAGAAAAATACTTTCACACGAAACACACAGTGACGATAGCGATTTTCAAACCGATATAAATTCAGTTCATGATAGCAGGAATAAAAAATTACCTCGAATAACACAAATAAGTACGATGACTTAAGAGCAACGACACTCACAGTAAATTCGTACAGCTTTTCTCTTTTCTGAAGAAGAAATTTGACCCCACCTTATCAATTTGTTAAAATTATCAAATGGTAACTCTTATCTATATTATGCTTCCGCAATCCACTGTTTATCATAAATAATTTTATTTACTATAGGAATACATTTATACTACAATTTATCATTATCACTTATCAATTTGTTAAAATTATCAAATGATAATTGCCATTTATCTTATGCTTCTTCACTTCACTGTTTATCATAGACGGCTAAAAGTTCATCAGCACGAGTTCTTTG